CCAGCAAAGGAATAAATTGTTTTTTTACATGTAGAAGCTCTGTCTGGTACGGAGCAGCATTATTTTATGGCCCAAACTAGGCAATGCCATGGATATCGCAGGACGGTGGGAATGTAGTATTTGGAAATAAAAGTGTGACATATGCATTCGTGGTAGTTTATGAGAAAACCAAAATTCATCACAACATAGTTTAGGACCCCCTCCCCCAATTAGCTGTACACACACAAGCATGAGCAAAAACAAATGGGCTAGCTGCTGTGTTATTCCAGCAATTCTCTCACACGCAGACCTGCAGGGAAGAAATCAAGATTAAACTGGCGTTAAGACATCACAGGACCTCATTCTTTCCAAGATTTATCACATTGTGCCGTCTGGTGCATTTGGGGGAGGCATTTGTTGCAGGTGCGACTTGGCAGGCTGTGAGAGCAACAAACACAGCACGTGGTCTTTGCAAACTTGGAGGGGGACGTGCTCGAGTTGGAAAGGGCGTTCTGTGAATCGAGTCTTGCTTCAACTATTCTACAAGTAGTTTGATGAGGACTGTGCATTGCAGGGAGACTGGAGTTAAACTTGACGTGGAATCACACAGGTTTGTTTGATGCAGATTGGGTTTTCAGTCCCTACCAGATACTGTGAGTTCCCCCCCCCCGGATATTTGTGCGAGGATTTCCTTCCACTAAACATTCAGCACATTTCTTTATCATTTTCTCCCGGCTTGCAGGCTACCATGCCATAGGCACCATACCTTTGAGGAATGCTTGGTTTTATTACCGGAAATTATCAAAATCTGTACATTAACCTGGGCACAAGGCAGTTTTGTCTGTTTTCATACAAGATGGCAGAATTTTTATCCCTTCACGCTTCACACAGCAAGCTACATTTTTAATGTGTGCTGAAAGCAGGAAGGTGATTCACAGCTCAGTGACCATAAAACACTTGGAACATTCCCCCTCAGACAATGGCTGTTCAAAACTGGGTTGGCTCAAGTTTCTGTAGGAAACGGCCTGAGAATGCTGCGCATTTGGAGAACGTGACTAAGCGAGCAAGTGGCTTTCTAGAGAACAGCTGTGTCTTGCAAGGGATGCAGTGGGGACAGGTGTTGTGGTATCCATCAAGGAATGAGTTGTTTTTCCTGATGGGAGCCATCCAAACAGAATCAGGACTACAGATGAAGGTGTGCTTTGTTCCCGAATGACCTTGCTGTTTCGAAATACTGAACTGGCCCATTCTCAGAACACAAACTTCAATTTTGTTAGACTTGCCAGCTGCATTATTAGAGACAGAGCTATTTAACCAAAAGTGCACAGGCTCACAAGAAGATGGCACTTCCTACTGGAATTAGGAACTAAGGCCGTGTCCGAAACGGGCTTCCAGAGCTACTGCTAGGTCTATTGTCTGCGCGTCTCCATGCAATTCAAATGGAACGTAGACCTAGACCTAGCTCTAGACAAGAGATTCGGATGCAGCCTGATCTAAGCTCTTCAACTTGAAGTTGTGTGCAATGCTAGCAGCTAAGAAAAGACTGAAATAGTGACTGCATGGCTCACGAGGTAAGGTGTTTCAGGTCTAAAATAAAGCAGAAGGGAATGGGTTGAAGTCTCCATCTAACAAATTCTTTAAGATGACATCCAGTTCCACAAGGTAAAAAAGGCGTCTCTATCAGACTACTGATGAAGGGTGGACTAACAGTTTGGAAATTTTGTGAGTTTTGATCTGTAGCGGATGAGTTAAGTGAATATGTTGATGTCCACTTTAAACCATTTTAATTGATAAAGCGGACTGCAACAACCAAGTGATCCCTTTATTGTACATTTGTGAAAAATCTAACAGGAGGGTATCAGACTCATTGGCAGGAAATTTCAACATTACGTACATGTACTGCCCATTGCATTTACCGTTTTGAAAAACCCTGACAATCCTCCAACAGTAAATTTCTGTCCAAGTTCTAAACCCTGCACACTTTACCAAGCATGGGTGCATATTAAATTTTATACTTCAGAACACTTTGAACCACTAAATAATGTTGAAAGACGCACACACTTGGGCACAGCCCACGACTTTTGCCTATGAACTAGTACATTATTGGGACAACCGCTGCTTCCAAACAGACCGCTCCCTGCTTACCTTCTGGAGTACGTCTTTAGCCTTGGACTCAAAGAGATGCTCCAGCTTCCTCTTATCGATCTTGACCTCCCCGAGGCTCCCCCAGATGGTGTCCTTGGGGTCGTTCCTGCCATACATGGAGAGTCTGTCTAGTCGCGTTTCCTTCCAGAACAGCCGCACTGTTTTCTTCTTCTTGGGCGGGTAGGTGTTGTAACCGTCACTGATGGTCTTTGAAACTGGTGGAGGGGGCGGGGGAAGGGTCCCATAATGTCCCGGCACCATGGGCGGAATCGGTGGAGCCGGGGGAGGTGGAGCAATGACCCCGCCCATGGGCGGAGGGGGAGGGGGTGGCACCACCCCGCCCACTCCAAACGCGTTGGTCACCGTGTAGACGTTCTTGTCGTCCCTGGTGGAGAGGTCTGTGAAGTCCCAGCCACCGAGGCGCAGCTCCCTGTTGTTCTTTCGCAGCAGCTCCTGCCATTCCACCTCCCGCTGGACCTCTGGACTGGGCGTGTCTGCCTTGCCAGCCACACCCGCCCCAGGCTGCTTGACGGGGAGGCTGATGGGCTTCAAGCCTTGTTTGGCTTGGTTGATGACCCCTGTCCTGTCCCCTGTGGGGCCGGTGGGCTTCTTCTGGTCAGCCGGCGACGTGGCAGGCCCCTGGGGGGATTGCAACTTCTCCTGGACTGATTGCACTGTCCCCTCGGCAACTTCCACTTCCCTGGGTGCTGCCATCGTCAACCCCTCGTCCTCATCCTCTGGCTCCTTGGTCAGCTTTTCGATCCTCTTGGTGATGGTCTCATGGTTCTGGAGGCTTGTGGACAGCTTCCGTGAGGGGCTGCCCAGTGCCGCCTCATCTTGACTGTTCCGGTTGGCGTACATCATTTCCAGCTGGTAGCGCTTGTTGTTGGTTAATCCAGCACTCATTGGGGGTTCCTGATGCCCCTTTTGTGTCTCCTCCTCTGCCTTGACCACCGTACCACCCCCTTCCAGGGTAGTCCCGACCCCCTCCCTGTCAATTTTCAAACGCAGCGGTTCCTTGTCCCCCTTGGAGGTGGGTTTTCCTGAGGAGTCAGCTGGTGGCAGAGATTTTTCCGACGAGGGTTCAGAGTGATTGCTAATCCTTGCTGGTTCTGCCTTCTTCTCCATGACAGTGTCATCTGAGGTTGTGCTCCTTTCTGGACTTGATGTCCTGGATGCCTCTGATGTGACAATATCTACCAATCCAATCACAAGAGTCTTATATTACTTCACAATTAAGAAACGTGAAAAATGACGCAAATTCCACATGACACCAAGCTGTTTACAACAACTTACCAGTCCATTCTTTGGCCTTTGCCAAAACCTCAACAGGCCACACCTTAAACGTGACTGCGTGTAACAGAAGGCACAGAAAAATATGGGACACGGATAACTGGTTATCTATGAGGGCAGCGATAGTTTGTGCCTGAAAATGGCAGCATTGAGTTGTTATAATATCATGACCCCCGTGTGCATCATCACAAGTAGCGACATATATGTGCCTGTATATTGTCAACATACATTACTGCTGAGACATATGACATTCTGCAAGAAAAGATGCCAATACAAAGTTGCAGACCACAGAACTTTTTTTTTACCTAGACCCGATGAGTCGCCATTGGTCAAAGCGGTAACCTTCTGTTCCGACCTCTGACCTCTGCTCTCTTCTTCACTTAACGAAGGGGATGGCTCGAGGATGACAGGTACCGGTCTCTGTCTGGCTGCTGCCTCACGCTTTCTCTCCTCTTCCTCCTTCATTTCTTTTTCCTTCAACTCTTTTTCCCTCATTTCTTTTTCCCGTTGCTCTTGTCGGAGTTTCCTCCGAGCTGCAATGCCACTCTGCAGATCTGCACATGTTTATTTTAAGAGTGGAAAGAGGCTTTTGTGAGAAAATAATGATGACTCGTACAATAATTATTTTCTCAAGGTAGTCTTTTGTGGTGTGGTGCAGGAATGGCACTGAGAGATTGCACTTTTTCATTTTCCTTGCATGCTACAAAATCTCTCCTATTATAAGTAAAACGTAATGTTCTCGAAAATTTTTGGCATTTTATAATGGGATTTTTCTCTTTTTACTGACACCAAGACAATTTTTTCCAAGAGAAGGGTAATGCCATCCAGAACCCAAATACAAAAAATAAAATGTTTTAACATTTACTGAGTTTGAACAACACAGTTGGAGAAATTGCTGCTGTGATGAACAAGTTAGTCAAACGATATTGAGACAGAGTTCATGATTGAAAGTAATGGCCAGATATTAGAGTTGTTTTGTTTTGACTTGAAAAGATGAGATACTTCAAAGATGAGAATTACGATAACACAAAATGAAGGACAGCTCCTGGTGAAAGAAAAACTCTGTTAATGTCAATAAACCACAGTAAACATGAAAAAGCAAAGAAAAGAATTTTTGATGAAGGGATGTTGAAAACATTAGAATCATGTCAGACAAGCTACATATTTTTGCTTCCATTGAACTTGTGCAGTCTGCAAATCAAAATGCAGAAGGCTGAATCAAATGCACTTAAAAAGAATGTCTTGCTTCTGCTCAATCCACACGGCATAGCCATCAATCAGTCAAATACACAGACTACACGCTTGAACACACATGTGAAGTTGTGTGATTAAAGTAAGTCTGGTCCGAGCCAATTTGGCTCATTAGGCCGGTGTTTATCTCCGGTTTCCTTGGCATGAAACGACTGAGAATATTTCTATTCCCCCTTGGATGGGATGCCAGTCCATCGCAGGTTGCTTCCCCAGCTAATGCTGGTACCCATTTATACTCCTGGGTGGAGAGAGGCAAGCAGGGGTGACGAGGCTTGCCAAGGGCCACAACATACTGCCAGCAGCTGGATTCGAACCTCCAACCCTATGATTGGAAGCCACAAACCCTAACTACTTGGCCACATGCCCCCCTTTGTGTGATCAAGCTGGACGATAAATTGTCGTCAAGTGTAGGTACCACACATCCACTTCAATTGAGCTACTAACCAAGGTCTTCATGCAACACTTGGTGGTGCTCTGTTACCAGGCAACAGTGGCAAAGTGCGGCCCATGCATAACAGTCCATGCATAATAAAAGCCAAGCTCTGAGTTTCAAGATTTCTGACTAAATGTGCACTGATCTACAAACTTGTAAACAGAACGGCATTTGTCAATTCCACTGTAAGAAAGATATATCCCCAACGGAGGGTCCCCATGCAACCCATGTGCCTACTTTTTCCAGACATATTTTGATGCTAACTTCCTGAGTGCTCCTGCTGGGATCCTCTCACGTTTCAACGAAACCAACGGCATTTTTTTTTTATATTTAAAACTTGAAGGGCATCATGCCCACCACAAACATTCGTCAAGCCGGACTCTACATGTACCTTTCTTGATCCTGCAAAATGCACTCAGAGCTTCCTGGTGAAATTTACATCATCTTAGAGGGGATTGAGTCAAATAGAGGATCAAGGTAAGCACCGAGACAGCAAGGCTGTCTTTGAGTCTTCTGTCTAGAGCTAGGTCCAGGCAGTGGTATAATGGGGGGGGACATGCACTAACAAATTCCTGGTGCCCCCACCGGAAGAAAAACAAGATAACCCCTTTTCTTTTCATCAACCCAAATAAAGTAACCCCTTTTCTTTTCGTCAACCCAAATAAAGTAACAATCATGCTCAGCAATACTGAAAACTCTTCTATGGGATATTTTGTAGGCCTACGAGCGAATCAACAATTCCAGTTCAGTCAAAATAAGTTGAGTTGGGGTAGTGGCTCTTTCCTTTCCTTCCACCTTTGTGACCCGGGTTCGAATCTCACCTAGGTCAGCATGTGGATTGGTTTTTCAGTCCCTGCCTAACTCTGTGGGTCTCCCTGGAATATTCATTCAGGGTAAACTGAATATTTGTTCATTGTCTTCTTAATTATCACTTCCTCCTGTAATTGGTGCTAAATGCACTGTTGGATTAACAAATATATAAATTAAAAAAATAAATAAAAGGCACGTCGTTTTGACATGGTAACCATGAAAGACCAAACTAGCTATTAGGTTTTGAACTTGAGACCAGAACTTCTTTTAGTAACATGAAACATGTGCATACACGTGATCAGATCCATATTAGCCTTGTATATGAAAAGCAGGTCACTGTCACTTCGCACCGAGTTGGTAAAGCTGGTCCCCCGTCCCCCCACCCCCTGGAAATGCTGATGAGGCCCTCTTGTGCACCCCCCAACACAGCAAAAGACTAGCTGCACGTGCACCACTGGCCATGCTGACGGCAACAACACAGGCCCATGCTGACAAGAAACAGAGTCTTGGCTTGTAAACCCTTTTTCGGGCACAGCCTGAGATGAGGCTGCTCATCAACAGCGTCACTGCACCAGTCTGTGATCACACCATGCCTGGATGCACTCGTGCCACGCCATGCATGGGGTACTCACAGTCAGGAGGCAAGAGTGGTTTGACCTCCTCATCATCTTTGGACTCTTGGTCTAAGGGGGGGAAACAATTCAGCATCAAGAGAAAACAAGAGATATCAACAGCTGGAACTTTGGTACACTCCAAGATGGTTATTCATGCTTGCACCCAGTTGGACAAAGTTGTAATTGTTAACTACGAGTCAAACGACTCACCAGGTCACAAAATGACAAGGGATGAACAATGACATAGTACCACCTTTGTCACAGTTCATCATTATGATAGCTTGTCAACCGAGACCCAATACCTTTCCATTTGACTTGTGATTTACTTGCAAAGACTTGATTTCAATGATCCAATACAAGCAATGCATTTCACAATAGAGAGCAGCTGCAGTTGGTGGCAAAAACAGGTGCTCACAGAGTGAGAAAGAATGACTAAGTAATACTTCCGTTTCATTTAGATAACAGGTTCAGTAGCATTTGCCAGACAAACTTTTGATCGCTAATAGAAGATTTTATTCTGTGGAACTTGATGGTTATTACATTTGAGGCCTCTGCCTAACTGAATGTCTCGACTAAAATACTGACTGCTCAGGTGCAAAATCTCAGGAACTGCGTGGTAGCACAATGTATTGTGAATTGCATCCTTGAATTCGTTTTTCACAAATTGCTGTGTGTGCAACGCAGGCATAGGTCTTACATCTACATGTCCAGAAGCAACCAAAGGCAACAATATGCAAATAATACAATGGTGCAATCTCATTGGTTGAGAATGGTGATTATGTGCTGGAGCAGTGATAACCCCTTGAGGTCATCAAACTAAACGATTCATCATGCATGGCGCTTGTGCAAAACAAAACTGTTGATGCAATCAGGATATTGGGCAGAAATCTGACCCTTGTCCTTCATGACTTCTTAAAGTTCATTTTAACTCATATAAAGCATAGTCTAGCATGTGCAATCATCTTACAAGTTGCTTTCTGAACTATTTCTTGCATATTACATGCAATGATGAAACAAGCGAATTATGTTTCTACAAATCTTTATATATGTAAAATTTGGGTAAGGTCCGAAAACCTAAGCTTTGTAAACAGTTTGAAGTCACGTCATGAAACGAGCACAAATAAGTCTTCTCCATTTTGATGTAACTGGAATTAAAAGATTAATGCACGGGGCTCATAATTTACCATAAAATGTCATACTTCACAGGTTTTGTAGAGGGCTAGGTTCTTTTTGTAAAAAAAATCTGTGCCAAAGCTTTTTTATTCACTCTTGTAAACATTTTGGGTAACAACCTGAAATTCCCCCGTCAGCCCTTAAAGAATAAATTTTCTGTCTACAAAGCCAAAAAATGAAAGACAAAGGAAAAAAGCTGACAATGCAATTAAATTACTGAGTAGATCATGCACAGTAATGCAAGTGTACATTACATGTTTGCACCTCCTTTCAGAAATACAAAGGGCATTCCGATCCAAAGAAAATGTCGCATTCAGCTGGCAATCAGTGTTCACTACAGTTTACATTTCTTTTCGGTGCTCATGCAGATGACATTGCTTGGTGTTTAGTCTTTTTCTTTTATCAATCATCCAAACTTGGCCTGGGGCTGAAAGGATTACCTTCATTTTGTTCTCTATGCTGGTGTTTTCTACTGGGCAGAGTAACTGTGAATGCTAAGAGACAGGACAGCGGAGGGTTGTAAAGACGTGTGGGTAGGTACCACAGTCTGGTATCAAAGGTACTAAGTTCTAATATTTGGGGTACTAGGAAAGTACCAACAAGCAAAATGTGCTATCTATATCCAAACTGCAATTAAAATGTTTAAAACAAGTGTTTACTTCTTCCACTCTCAAACAGCTGCAATGAAGTATTTGATTTTATCAAATGTTTAAAGTTGATGAAAATCCCTTGTAAGTAGATATGGTATGTTTACTCTGAGGAACCTCAAGGAAATAATCAGGCATTGTAGCACATGAATATCTTATCACTGAAATACATTATGTTAAAATCTTTTCTTGTTTTCAAATTCATGTCTTCATTTTGGATATTTTCACAGGAATTTCCGGGTTTATATAGAGAAAACTGATTAATTGATCACATGACTCATGATGTCCGAAATGATTGAAATTTGAAACATCCTCCACCACACATGAGTACATTAAAACTATGGAAAAATTTATTATAGCAAAAGGTTCAGAGAAAAAGACACCTGACAATTGATTAAAAACATTAAAGTCACATCCCAAATTTGGCATGATGAAAGTTTTAAATGACCAATCGTAGGCACTCTTTCAGGGCATGAGTTAATAGACACTGACTCGATGCTGATCGGTATCGTCAGTGTTGCCCAATAGACAATGTGGTGTCTTGCAGGATCTCCTACATTCTTTCTATCAGATGCTTGACGAGGGGTTGGTACGATCGTCTTGATGGTTTGAAAACATTTTACACATCAATGCAAAGCATCAATTTCAAGTCAAAAGAAACTTCTGTTTTTCCATCATCAATGAACCATGTATGTAAATGATCAAATTTACTTCAGCCGGTTTCAGAACAGAATCTTCACGGTGAAAGAAATGAATTATCTGTTTGAAGATACAAGAAAAAAATCTTGCTTCCATTGTTAAAAGTTAAAATCTCCAAAGCTGTTAACGGGGTAACTGTTCAAGTTGAGTCTTCATGCTGTGGTTAAGACTGTTTAGTTCAGGTTCATCATGCTGTGACTGACTTACTCTCCGTCGGCGATTTGTCGCCTTTTGTTGACGAGCGACGGCGGCGTCTTCTGTAAGAACTGACCTCTGGTGGAAAAGAGTGACGTTATGGAGAATTTGCTTTTCAGTAATCAAATCCACCAAGCAGTTGGATTGACAAGGGAGTGAGAACCCCTGAGCTGTCTTGTCTTATACCTGGAGAACACTGCTTGGAAAGTATTGCAGTACATGCTGTCAACATCGGCTGTAAATTAGAGATTTGACCTGTGTATCTGCCATCTGAGTTGACAAAATTTACTAGATAGTAATGAAAATTATGAATCTGGTCAACTAGACTTATGTGAAATTCACCGAAAGAATGGTTTCCCGACTCATCCAACTGGTCTTCTGCTCTGACTGGCTGGTTGGCAACCACCATTATTTGATGAAGAGGCAGTGTCAATGACCCCCTTGTTCTCTCTGTGAGTTTCCCACAAGTCAATTTGATCAGATTCATAATTTGTGTTATTATCAATCTACCTGGATAAATCAAAGTCTGCCCGAAAATCTGTATCATAAAGCTCAGAACTAAGTACCTCATTACACACTTCTAGGATCTAAACTAATTTTGATGTTTTTCTTCGAAGAGTAGTTACTGCTGTGCACAAATTTTTCAATGAACCCCCCTTCAGATTTGCCCAAATTGAACGAAACTGTAAGGCAGAGAGAAGGCTTCTTCAGGAATTGAACTTTACAACTGCAGACATCTCACAGGCACAGAATTCTGCCTGTCTAGTCAAGAAACAAAAACAAAATACAATTCCCACATAAACAGGATAAAGGAAAGAGTACAGGTCCCACTCACCTCCATTTTCAATGGCAGGCGGCGAGGTTACCTCAACTGGTTTTCTGGCTGTGACAGTGGTTGAAACTAAAGTAAAGAAAATGGGTCCAAAAATCTTAATGATGTTAGCCCTTGACAGAATCATAAAATCATCATAAAATCAGGCAACTGTTTCTGAGTGTCTGCATATTCGGCCCAAGCCCTCCCCCCAAAAATGTAGGTCCAGATCCGGCCTTCTACAGAAAACAAAAGATCTGTACAGACAAGTCTTCTTGAAAATACTTGAAGAGCCTATCTGTGTATTTGGCCTTTACGTATCTGGTTTTGAGGTTTAGAGTTTACCTGTTTCTTCAGGTTTGTCCTCCCGGTGTCTCCTCCGATGGGACACGTCTGCAATGGCAAATAAAACAAAGCACTGAAACAGTCAGTACATTTTTATTCATTTTACCTGGGTATTTGAACATTGAAATCAAGTTTTTGCAGAAAAGCCCTATCAGTCATTAGCTGTTCTCCCTATGAGCCCTGGGGAGAAGACAGTGGCAAAACGTGAAGTTCTGGAGATGGGAGGAAAACCCCAGACAAAAATTCCCCGGGGAAATCCACAGAATCAGGTAGGGAATGAGAACCCAATTCCACATGTCGGCCTGGGTGGGATTTGAATCAAAGTCATAGATGTGGAAAACAAAGAAAAGTATTACACTGGTTGTCCTTACGGCATATTACATGTAGTTTCCATTGTTGGGGGATTTTGAATGTGCAGATAAATGTATGCAACAGTGAATGCAAGGTGCTAAGCCTACCCCAGTGTGAAGTAACATTACATGTACTTTATTCTTTGCTCAGTGCTTTTTGAGTGCCTTTCAAGTACTTGTGTCCAGTCAAAGTTTAATTTACTACTAATTGTATGTACATGTTTTTTCCTCTAAAGTGGGCTCATGATCATTTGCTTTCTTCTGTCAATGTTTCCCTTGCCATGTTCACCATGAACAGCTCAATATTTGGTAATTCAAGTACTTGGAAACCACACGACTGAAACACTGGGCTACACTGACTACTAAAATAGACACTCGTTGGCCTACACAGTCACGAGCCTAGTAAAACTGAGACTGGACTGCTGTTCACTTACACTCGGTGGTGGTCAGTGGAGTGCTGGCGTCTGGAGGTTTGAAGTTTCGTGGTAAAGTTGCGGCAAGCTCTGTTGATGGAAATGTGACGACGATATCATTTCACGTTTGCACAATCCTGTTTTGCACAGCAGTGCCATGTGGTATCAATGGCTGGGCGCAAGTGCATGGAACACTGGTCTTCCAGGATGTTAAATCTTTCCAATCACTCAAAGCAAATTTTTGCTCTTGAGAAAGTATAGTTGCTACTGCCCTATAAACCTAAACCACCGCAAATCACTGTTTTAACTCTTAAGGCCAAGAACAGCAAATGTTTCTATTGTACCATGAATTAAAGCAATGCTGTGCCCATCACATTTCACACTTGAAACAATAGCAACCAGTTAAAAAACTTGGCATTTCAATATATGTAAGTTTTTGGCAAAGGCAAATGGTGACTTGTAAAGGCTGGTTCAATCGGGTTATCATGCAGACATAAACAAGACAAAATTTCTCTGGTTCGGATGCATTCATAAAGTAATCCACCCTTTCGAAACCCATCTACATGTACTTTTAATCTCTGACCTCACACACTTGACATCCAGATTCCACATTGCTTTCAATCAATTAAGCTCTCTGTGATTGTATACATGTGGAATCTGAAGATACAAATATGTGAAACCAACAAGGACATCCGCAAAATGAAACTGGAAAGGTTCGGGACAAGCATCAATCAACCACTGCATTAAAAACATGAGAGCTGATTCCAGAGTTGAAGTTGTCAATCATTTATCAAATCACAAGTCTGTTTGCAATCGGCAGGCAATGAACAGAATGCCTCAGTAATAACTATTCCAGTAGCCGCTGAATTGACTTGAATATGAATGATGCCGAGTCAAAGTACCTTAGCTGCAGCTGAGCACTTCTTCAGCCACTTACTTTACTGGTGGCTTTGAATACGCAGACATGTCATTACCAACTGCGGACATGTAACAAGCCTTTTGCAAGTCATGTTTGAATAAAATCTGGTACACTGAGTTATCTGATTGCACATAAAACATGACAACTTTAATTCTCCATACTAACCATTACCAACACTGTTGCTACACCTCGTGATTCGGGCCAAGCTTTTGCTTAGTTATGTAAGAGACACCTTGTACCAATACCCTGTTTTTAGTGGATAAGAAGGGCACAAAGGAACCAGTCTTTCTAAAGATGGTGGTCACTATGCGACAGCTTGCCTCAAATCACAAGGGAAAGGAACGGTGTCTTCTGTCAGGGAAATTCAAACTGTTATGTTTGCGTGAATTTAAAGAACTCATTGTACCAGATTTTATTCTAACTCCCAAAAAGCTTATTTGGACAAGACCCAAGATGAGACTGACAAGTGATTGACTTGTGAGAAGCCTAACTAACACAGGCCAATTAACGCTGAGATTTGAATGGACTTCCTTGGAAGTTTTCCAGGCGTTTCCCCCTTAAGCTTGCCTTTGTTTGACAGAACTGATAATGAAGAAGATTGTGGGTCGTGCTAATATACTGCCCATTTGCAGGTATTGCATGCTATTCTGAGTTGCTATGCTGGCCAATAATTTCCATGAAGCTACGTGCCTTATAAAATGGATCTCATCCTCAAGAAAGAATGTGGTCATGTCTGCATACACAAATGAGAACCACCCTTTATTCAAACAGCCTTTTCTGTTAGTAAAAGTGCATGATGTGAGTGTGCTAGCATATGCTGTCTGCCGTAGACAGCAGGAAATATGAAGTAATTTGAGCTGTTAGTAAATGTTAAAATACACACAATTTGTGAAATTTAGGTGATCATCCAAGTGAATGAATTCAGATATTGCTAGCTTATGGTAACAATGATCATGTGATCAAGGTTGTACCTTGGGACTGAATAGGAGTATGACCTTTGGTGAGCGCGAGCACACTTAGTCACACAAGAGTGTGTAATCTTGCACAAGTTATTCCAAGATGGCAGAAAAGCAAACATTTTCTGTTCGTGCGATGTGATCCATGAGTAATGCATTCACAACACTTTAAAGCACTGACAAGCATTGAGAGTAATGCACAAAACAGAGCCTAGGGGTGATAAGCGATTACTTTGGAAAAACTGCTCAAGGCATTTTGCTACTCAGTAAATGTAAACAGTTACGGTGAGATCTGACGAGGACTTCAATAATGTCTGTCTTAGGCAAGAAAGTTCCCAGGACACAAATGTATACATGCTGATTTTACATTCAAACTCAAAGCCTCTCATACACACATGTATGTACTGTAGTTGCGGGGACATGCAGTCACTTTTTTCCACATTTTGTGCGACCCAAACTGCTATGGGGACAAATTCCTTTACCTCATCCAGAAACCATTTTAAAGAAACCTCAAATGAGGTGTAACTTACAAAAGCTATCAATTTTAATCATTTGAGAGGAATTATCCCACAACAAACTTGTCTATGGTCCAGTATTATTTTCAGCCACAAATATCAAACTTTTTTTTAAAACTGCAAGAAACATTCATAGTCCTTTACAAAGTTGGACTTTACGAATGCTAAACCTTGCCAGTCATCTTGTCAACATTAGTGGGACACTTCTTACTGCACTGTCACTTCTTGGAAACTCTGAGATAATGTCAACGAAGCATATTTGCTGCAACAGCTGGACTTGGCCTTCAACCACTTCAGGGCAAAACACACACTCAACCCCCAATGTCTGGGTGGGGCCTCTGCATGTGCCTACAAACTCAATGAAAATCACTCAAGCATGGGGACAAGTATAGATGGCAGCTGGCACTGAACAAAGAATTTGTCAGAATGTTTAAATGTCCTTTATGTCGCAACATGGAGGATTTTTGTACACGGGACACTTTTTTTCCCAAGATAAAGAAGGAGACCAAATGTACATGTATGCATATCAATGGTATGATGACCCTATTGGCATAGTATAAATGAACATCTAGAATTACAGCATCGAAAAAACTTTCCTCTGAGAGGAAAATACTAATATTTAACACAGTAGCACGTGCAGTGAAATGAAATGCTTTCTTGTAAGGTTCTCAGACCTGCAAACATGCGGTACTCCTTCCTGAGGTCAGGCATTACCACGATATAAGCATATAATGAGGCACAACACACACTGCAGCAGGCAAACACATTATGCTTAGAACAGGACTTGGGAGGTATAGATCAAGGATGAAAAGGGGAAAGTGGCCTCGATATGACAGCAGCTGATATGTGGTATTGTTGGTATGTGATGACCACAATGGAAAACTTATAGAAAAAGTGCCATTCTAAGAATATGAAATCAACAGTGACAAGCTCCTCATCAGAACTCTCATAGTAACACAGGAGAAGATAATGGTTTTACAACAGCTTAAAAATGTATACATTTATATGATGATGTTACATGTAGAAGCATTTGGGTTACAAAAACTGGTGTCAGAAGTGGGATAACTTTACAATCATTCCCAAAATGTGTTCGCAGGGACTATTCCAAAGAGAAGAGAGTTACATTATCAGAGTTCATGTGGGGATGATTTCAGGATGAAATGGAGTAATACTAAAGACAATACCAGTACTTGGCAGCAGAAGTGGGATAAAAACTCACTGGGATCTCTAAGGGAAGGTACATGTACATGTAAGTACCGAGATACATTTACAACATAGCGAAGCACAATGTAGATTGGCAGATGAATTCTGAAGATGATTCGTAATATGTAAAATGGACAGGAACTGAGGTACATGTACAGGACATAGTAACACACACACTGAACTCATAACTGCAATCCTGTTCTGAAAAGATCTGTGGACTGTGTGCATAGGTGATAAATATAAAGAGTAAATTCCCACAAATGGGATGTAACACAATGGTTCAATAGTTGAGTTAGGTGAGCTAGGATGGGTGACCACAGTAAGTTGCAAGAGGGTATAAAGCAGTGTAACACATCAACACAAGGCCTTTCTTTCTGCTGTCACTGCAATCGTTCACACCAAACTTTGGCAAGTCGTAAGGATAGGGGGACCAGGGGAGAGGCCACAAAAACACGGTGCGAGATCATGGGCCAGAGGGGCAGATATTACAGGGAGGGGAGGGGGGCCCGGGTCTTACTTTCGGCAGCCTCTGCCTCTGCTGCCCTCTGGGCTTCTCTTTCTCTCCGCCTTCGCCTCCTCTCTGTAATGTAATCAGCTTTGGGGGAGATGTAACCAAAAATACGAAATGATACAATGCGGGGATTGTCTGTAATGCTAAACCAATTATATTTATACTAGCAGGAATGTATGTTTGTGGTAGTAGGCCATCGACTAATGCACGATGGACAGTGGATACAAAAATGGGTACACAGCTCATGGTCTGGTGTATGGGGTACTGACAAACCAAATACATGTACAGACAAATGGAAACTTCTGGAATCTCTTCATCAATTTCATTACCAGCGGAACTGACAGAATAAATTTAGTCTATGCAAGCTTGGATGAAAAGTCCTCCTTCTTCTCCAACTTACTCTCAGCAGGAGAAGTTGAGCTGGTGGGAGTAGTTGAAGGGGCGGAGACTGAAGTGGGAGTCTCAGGGGTAGAGGTGGAGTCCCGTCCATGCCGCCTCCTAGATGGGGTGTCGACACTTTTGGTAGATCGTGTCCTCGTTTGCGAGTCTTCCTCGGATGGTCTGACCCTGCTAGGCATGGCATCTACGCTCGGTTTTGTTCTCGTGGGCGTGGTGTCTACAGGTCTAGTCCTGGAGGGCAGTATTTCATGACCTTCTGTCGCAAAAAGGGTGTTGTGGGAGTTTGATGTACGGGAAATCACGGGCGGCAGGGAAGGGGAATATTGACATGTAGGGGGGTGGGAGTGGAAAAGGAATACATGTAATTTGAGGGAGTGCAGGAGAGATGGTAAAAAGTTAGGCAGTAGTCTGTCTCCTTGTATGCTTTGCACTCAGGTCAAGCAGTGCGCGACTATTTGTGACCTGCTGATTCAAAACCAAACAAATTGCCAGAACCATCAAAGAAACTTAAGTGCAACTGTGACAATATACATGTACATGTATCTAATCGCTTTGTATCCTCCGGTAATTTAGTGCTCCATACAATTACTATTTACTACAGACATGACTTAAAATGACAGAAATCATGATTTCAAAGAGAGGGCTGGGATGAACTTTCTCCTTGGACCAACAATGTCAGAAGTCTGGTCTTGATCTACTCAATAAATAAATAAAGTATTTGTGGCATATCAAAATAAATCTCAAAACACTGACTTTAATTTTCAGGCATCAAGTAGTACACTAACCCACATCTTTCCTTCTTGCTCCAAAATTTCAGGTTTCAGAATCTTACAATTGATAAACTTCCTGTGCAGCTCATATTAGGCTCCTTGAATACTAGAGGGAGGGTAAGAGCCAATGGGGGAGGGGACAGGGACATCCCTTACCATCAGGCCTGGCTTCTGCCATCTCTCTCTGGACAGGTTTCCTATCTTTATCATCTTTAGAGAGAGACAAGAGAGTTTTGACTACCAAATCAAACAGAGAAAGATACCACTCTTGCTCTCCTCAAAGCATGCCTCAAAGCATGCACAAGATGCAGTGAGCCTTCCTGTAAACTCTTTAGTTTGTTATCTTCAACGTGTTAGCCTCGAACAGATCACTTGTTACCCATTCAAGCTGCTCAACATCAGATGTCCATGCAGAACATATTAAAAGAACATACCAAACATTCTCAAATAAGGGTCTCAACCAAGAACCTCAAAAGTCCAGGGTTAGTACAAATACATGTATGAGATTTAGTAGATGCTTATTCATTCATAGAGAGTTGTTGGACCTGGCACCTGTTAGGCAATCCACCAACGTGACAAGTGTGCACCCACAACACGGTGGTGACTAATATAAGAACTGCAGCCTCAACGGCAAAAACCATCGTTCTATCTGCATGCTACACAATGGAAAAAAACTGTGCTCTGGCTTGTATCTGCATAATAGGCAACAGAGAATGCTTATATCTAGATGTTACTGAATGGCATGATCCCGTTCTACAGTGTGAAGTGGTGAAAATAGTTGTCTATCTATGTGACATCCAGTCTTCTAGATATTACTGTGTATATGTATGCGCATGTACATATACCGGTATATGTACATGTCTAATGACAGTGAAGACCAGAAACACCTGGATAATACATGTATGTCATGTTATCTGATGGGGGTTTTCACAAGGAGCCATCTTGGAGGTAACAGTTTCTGCCTTCCAGCACACAGATCCACATCAGGTGACCCTGTTTGCAGTTGGCATATTGCTGTAGGCGCCTTCTCCCCCCACAATATCAGTCAAGCTTGCCTCCACAATCCCGATGTAGTGTGTATGAGCATCAAACAGGATATTCTTTGAACGTCTTCATTTCCACTACCAAACACCAAGTTTAGTGCCTCGTCTCGCAAGCTGATTTCAAAGTGTTTCTGGTCCAGTGATGAGTCAGAAGGTGCCAGTGACTGACCCTAATGCCTACAGCGGCGGGTAACATTCATCAGCTTTGTTCTTCTTTGTCACAATATCGAGCACCTCAGAGGAATGATCACATGACGGTGTGCGTATAGTTATTTCACAAACAGGAACAATCCACAATACAGAGAGTTACAAGACGTGGCTCAAAGAGGCTTTTATGGTCAAAACCATGTTAGACAATTCAAGTGACCAGAATTGGAAGCCATAACTGTCATATCACACTCGCCTGCCTTTTTGGCGTATCAGGCAGTTACCGTTGCCAAAATGCACCCTCTAATGAAGTTGCACAAATGTGCCAAATGCTAAGGTTCTGTTCTCGTCAGATCAGTCAACACATTATCTACAAATGTCAAAACTAGTAAAATCCTTGTGTCAAAGGAATATTGCGCGGCAAATGGATGCTAACTTTTACCCAATATGTCCCACAGAAATGGCTTCCCCGGTAGTTCCATTCTGTACTGTGAATTGTTCCCATTCCGTCGGTGAGAGAATTCTGTCAACACATGACTACTAACATGCAACCAACTGTCCCAAAAGGATGCATAAAAAAGATGTGAAGCTGACGTGGAAAAAGAGGGAATGATTTGAATGTTGACTGAAGAAAAAACACACAGCAACCTACTTGAATTCCACTAGCCACTGGAAGGTGCTGTTTTCAAGTGTAAGAAATGCTAGAAGCCAGGTACACTTCCACCATGGGAGGTTATATTCAACTCAAACCAATGAAATTTGCAGCCCACTGACACTCTAGCTAATTCAGGGTTTATGATCTACTGAACAGAAACATCAGGAGCTGTCTTCTTTTTTTTTCAACCAAGCTGTGTACATGTTGGTATTTGATACCTGGATTTATTATTGAGCATTTGGTCCGACATTGTTGGGAAAAATTTATCATGTTTCTTGAAAACAATGTCAAAACCAACACAGAAACCTAAGAGACAACTATCGAGAGTAGCAAAGGTGACATAACATAGACACTTTATGGTACCAACCACACCTTTTGGGCTTGCAGCTAACAAATGAATCCATTTGCTGAATATGCATTTTCATAACTGTTTTATGACCCAAGGAATTCTTTTATACTTAGAAACTGTTTCCTCCAAAAGGTAAATTGTGTGCCTGAATCCTGCGACCCAAAATGCAACAGGTGTGAACACGTCCAATGGCTAGTGAAAAAAAAACTAGTCTTACTATCATGAACTTCATGGTGACACATAAGTCCCAATAAACGAGGTGCTCTACATATACATTACACGTATGATACATGTACGTGTACCTTTAAGTGCATGTAGAGAATGGTGCAACCTACTCAAAAATGACAGGAATATTCTCAAGCCCTAATTTGATTCCATGAAAACCAGAATAAAACAGCCACTGAACTCCAGCTTTTCCAGCACCACATAGCAACCCGCTTGTTTGCAGTTTGACTAGAGGCCAACATGAAATGTACACGGAAGTCTGGTGTCCCAAATTTTTATGCCTGAATGTCATTCATTCTGACAGCTTGGTACATGCACACTGAGTTCACTGATCTCTACACACTTGATAGGTTGCGCTGCTCTGTGTGTGAAGCCACAGGGTCACCATGTTGGGATATTCAAAACATTGCCATAGAGTAGTGGAAGTCACACAATGTCACGGAGGTGCATGAACGTGAAATTGGGCCAATCATAGCCGAAGTAAATTAATGAATGCTGTTGAAATAGTCCAGTTTGATCATGGAAACTACCTACGACAGTTATACCAGTGTGCTTACGCCGGGTGTGACTGTTCGGGAAAAGATTTGGTTGGTCGTCCACAACTTGAACCACTGCACTGGTGCTACATTAGTGATGCATGCAGTTAAAGAAGCCTGCAAGCTAGGGGCTGGTCCATGTAGGACTAGCTCTGGTTGTCTTGATTAGAAAATCAACGTTCTGGCTTCCCTTTTCTCTCAAAAATGTTTTTAGGGGAAGACTTCCACATGGGGACATAAACCAGTGCTTAAACTGTTTGGTAAACCGGAGAAAAAAGTCTTGACAAATTGGGCTTATTTTACAACAGCTGGTGGAAACCCAGTCACAAATGCAAGTTCCATGGTTTTATGAGACAGTTCCCAAGTTTGTTTTCATGAAAACAGTCTCAAACTGTTTGTGCATGGGGCATTAAGACAATGTCCAGATTTACAATTTCTCCAGCAAACCCTTGATAACATTTTCCAGATAATCAACCCAAATATCTTTTGGACAAGGAGTTATTTTCTTTCAGTCAACTGAGATAGTAGTAGCTAGCATCACTAAACTTTAAGTCATCTACTCACGTGCGCAAAATGTTTTAAATACCAAAAAATGGCTGTTCGGTGGCTTCACGGCCAGCAATCCAATCACTGTACGCACGATCTATCCATTTTGTAGAGATCAGTGACCGAGTCCAAGCCTGCTTGTGGTATGTGCTAGAAAATCAAGGCAGCTGATTGGCTTATCTACACCAGAGTATAGCCAATCTGTTTTAGACTCAGCCCAAGAATACTCCCTTTAGTCTGTGCAGGGGGAAAAAGCAAAAGAACTTGGCCACAACAGGTGGCAACAGGTAACTGGCAATCATCCCACAATGTCTTACCACTCAGACACGTGGCGTATCTTGCATTATGCCGGTCAATCCAGCGAGTGTAGGAAGGGGTATCACCTTAGCATTAAACGTTCCAACATAAACCAAAGGGTTAACACACTGCTCAGCAAGTCAAGAGCACTCTATAGTCTTAATTCACTCTCAACAGCAAAACCTGGATGAAATGGCCAAAGTTGGTCCACACTTTTGTTTTTCTACGTGGTTAATGACGTTACAACTTGAGTAAGATGACGAGACATGCCTGCATTATTTCCAATTTTGCAGGAAAATATTAAAATGGCCATCAGACAGCACCAGGTTAGGCTGCAACATGTGCATGTACTTCTCATTTCAACTGACCTACATGTATAAATGCATTTTGTCAAGCAATGTCAGCTTACTAGCTCTGAAAAAATTCTTAAGTAAAAGATAAAAAGAACAACTCAAACCTTAAAGGTATTTTCCCCCTCATTTTCAAGAACTAACACTACTCAGTCAGATGGTTAGAGCTTCACATTAATTTCTACTTTGTATCATATGTCACACTTACAGAACACAGAACTTTTAGTTTCTATTCAAAAAATTGAAATACTAAGGCTATTACTGACAAATGATTAGTACAAATTTGTGTAAAAACTCATTAAAATGATCCACTCTGTTACATGTACATGTATTTTACACATGCACAAAAAACAAAGCCTTAAATTAGAGTTTCTTTTGATTTCTGTAAAATCCTTTAATTACTATTTACAGTTCAAACTGCTGGTTTTTTTTTTTCAAAACAGATGACAGTGTGAATATTACATCTTGTTTATGCCCATGTTTTTAATCAATAATCTGAACTTCACGTGGTTTCTCCGACAGCTTTATTCCTGTCTTGGAAAAAAGGTCTTTGGGCCACAAGCACGTGTATGTAATTTCTTCAGTATGTACATTTTGCAAAAGAAATCAAATGTATTCAGACCAGTTCCCCGCAAAAATGTAGAATCTGAAATACAGCAATGTGGCAAACAAGACCATCAAACAATTCCAGGCTGATAAATTCTTTAAATGAAGTTCACAGCGTTGAACTTAGGGTTAAGAAAAGTTTGCAAGCATTCCGCTGAAAGATGAAAATGAGGAAGTAGAGATTGCTGAATATGAAAAGGAGCAGTCAAAAATGTATCCCTACTAATCCCCAATAGCAGATTCTCTGAAAGTTTCCAGCATCCATCTTAAAGTTGTAAGGATGGTGTCTCATCTGTGTACAGGGCCACCACACAAAGGAGGCCAGGGCCACCACACAAAGGAGGCCAGAGCCACTACACAAAGGAGGCCAACTTCCTCCACTGTTTGGCACTTATCATCTACACGCAGTGCACTGCTACACAGCTCAAGGTTTATACATGTACATTTGTCAATGAAGTTTTTAAAACTCAGTAGTACAACTGCATTTAACTGGTGAAGTACACAAGACTCATTGGTACCAACAGCTCCACACACAACATTCCAAATCTGCATGCCAAGATGCCAAGCCGGAGAGATGGCAGTAAAAAGATACTTACTTGAAGAGTAAGGAGATGAGACAGAAGATGTTGCAGAAGGGAGGCGGGAGGATGGTTTGTAGGAGGAGGAGGAAGACGGGGAGGGATAAGAAGATGGGAGGTGTCTGGACTCTCTCCCAGAGGTGGAGGATTTGTAAGAGGGTCTATGAGAGTCGGCGCAATGCCTGGTGGTATCAGGGGTGGGGGTGGACTTGTAGGAGGGTGTGGAGGGTTTGCGATGGCAGGAAGGGGCTGGGCTTTCAGGGGTTGGAGTTGGAGGCTTGGCATCACCACCACTGAGAAGACGAAGAAGCTCTTCCTCCTCAGCTGAATGAGAGAGGGGAGCAACCATTACTATGGCAGTTCATTCAGAAGGCAGTTGAGAAAAAGGGCAAAAGATACAGAAAATGAAAGTTTCAGGAATCAATATTCATCTCTTTCACTGAGTGACAGACATTTGTCCAAAAGAAATGTTATCCCCAAAAGAGCTAATTTTAATTCCACTTGTTCAATTTGCAGACTCAGGAACATTTGTTACATTCTCAAAGGCAATGTCGCCGTCTCCTGAAACTCTTCTTTCAGACATGGCTATTGTCATCAGAAGTCAGGGTACTGCTCTCCTCTCTATTTGCCGAGGAACTACTAAGTCTGGTGCCTTTCTTCCACTTGAAGTATTATCAATGTTGGGTTCAGACAACAAATAAGATCATAGACAAATTGTGTGAACTGAGTGAATTAAATGAGGGGTTGTAAGATCTCGAAATTGTAGATGTACATGTAGTCCTGATTGGCTGGTCATTGTGTAGAGAAGTTCTAATGCTCTTGTTGTAGTTTCCAGTTAAAGATGTTCAAGAAATCGAAATCACAGAGATGTAGTTTGTGTAAAAGTGCCTATTGATCAGTTTTACAACACATGTAAATCCTCAAAAGAGAACTGTCCTTATGACAAATAAATTTACTATGACATTACTGTGTTCATGTACATGTAGTTCTGCAATCATTAGCACATATCTGAGCATTCGCCAACAAATTCATAAATTATTGGTATTAACGCTATTTTTTCAACTACAACCACATTGACTTAGACCAAATCTGCTCCACCAGCAGATATTGCATTTCGATATTGAATTTCACCTTTGGTTGCAAATATGCGTATAAAAATAGAATGAACACAGACTTCCACATACACTGCATGAAAAAAACTTAAAACATTTAACATGACTGGGGTTAAAAAGTTGTTTTGTGGCTACTTCACACTTGGCACACACAAATAAAAAGATAAAGGCAAGCATGTGACATCACAGCAAGTATTCAGTGTGGGAACTCACAGAAAATGACAACAATTCAGCTTATCACTTTTATGACAACTAAATCGTGTCACATTCATACTCATATCAGATGTGAACTTGCTTTTACAATGTACATGTACACATGGACATATGCATGGACATGTACATGTACACATGGACATGTGCATGGACATGTACATGTGCATGGACATGTACAAGAGCATGTACATGTACACATGGACATATGCATGTACATATGCATGTACATGTACACTGATACTGGAGAAAATGTCTGAAAGACCAGTTTAGTGGCTATCTGATGGCAAACACAGGGCACGACATCAAAGATAGCATGGTCTCTAATACTGATAAAATTTCCTTTGGGAAATTTCACAATATCTTTTTTAAACCAACTAAATGTACTGTACAATTTTTAAAATGCAGAAATCTGAAACGCACCCTGCTACAAAAGGAACAGTATTTAAAACTGATCAAATACGAAGTTCACCATTTGATTTCAATACTAATTTTTGTCCATCCACACAATTATAACAGCACTGTGTAAACTGTGTATGGTGAACTCAACGAGCTCTTAATAAGTAAGAACAAGTTGGACTTACTCGGCTGATGCGCTGCGCTTGTGTCAGGGGGCTCTATTCTGGAAGGTCTTGTTACTGGCTCTGAGGGTTTTGTAGCATCCTCGGTACCTAGAAAAAGGCCAAGTGACAGGTGGACGGGGAGACACACACAAGGAGACACACACAAGGAAACACAGGCAGTGAGAAGACAGGAGAATTTCACAGGTTTGAAAGGGGGGGGAGAATGAAACAAGGAGTGACAATGGAGGGAATGGAACGAAGGGGCATACGTACAAAGAAGGGTTAACGATGAACGGAGACCAAAGCACGTAGAGAAAAAGGAGATAGTGAAGAAAGTGTCAGGGAGTTGAAAGTAGAAGAAACATGAGGGATTTCACAACACATAGAAAGATGGAGAAGAGTCACAAAAAGTTCAGAGGAAAGAATCGGAAAGAACAAAAAGAGAAGGAAAGAAATGAGAATTAGACAATGCTCATTTCAGATTGACTATGCAGTCTATTCATAGCTGAAATATTAAAAATCATCGTGCTCTGACTGCAAGCATGGCAAACCGTAATTAAAACTGGGGAAGGTAGTGGATTAATGCTATTGACTACCTCAGTAAAGGTTGTTGACGGGGATGGAGACGGGACTGTGGGAAGGGGTAAGGTAAAGGCATGGGTGGGAAGGGGTGACGTAACAGTTGCAAATAGAAAGGAAGAGTACATATCGCGGGAAAAAAGGCTGTGATGCTGTTTTACATGTGGCAGTAGTAATTAACTACTGACTTAAATGGAGCAAGGTGTTTTGCTTGTAAATTATCCTAATGTGTAAGCCAACAACCGCTTGCCAATAAAAATACCAAGCCCGGCGGAGCATAAAGCATCCATAAGTGGGATCTTGGTAAAATCTTTGTTCCATGATGCAACAGGCTATTCTTCCCTCCAATGCTCATGGGCAACAAGAGGAAAGTACAACATAATGTCTTGCTCAAGGACAATGCATCAAGAGTAAAGTCTGATATGCGCATTTCACAATACAATGTGCAACACAGTGCAATACAGTGTGAATCGCCCGTATTACAACAGATACTCCAAATACTTCAGAATCTTCAACCCAGACAAGAAACAGCGAAACAGCGTAGCTGGCAAAACGGACTTTTGTTTACCGTTTTCCCACAGTGCAATGCAAAAAAAGGCCTGAAAGCGGCAACCACTGGGTGGTGCAAAGCACCCGTATGCCAATTCTGAGCCCTAGGGTTAAGGATGTGTCAAATTCATTATTCCTTATTTCTGTGCAATACAGAGATTACTTTCTTGAATACTTGGTGAAGAAGTACATACTTGTGTCCCTGAGCAAGACACTTTGAAGTAACTGCTGCCATCAAAGAAAAAAAAGCAAGCCTGAAGTGACTTGAATTTGAAACGAACATGAATACCGGTACCTAACCCTTTACTCCCAGTTAACTTTGCCGTTGGCATGCCAATAAGCCACAGAGACTGAATAGCTGTACCCTGCACCAGACATTGACAAGCATGTACAATAGGGAACCCTGATAATCTACTGGCTAGCTTCATGCTCGCCACAGCCAGTATGACGTTGGCTAAGCGACGGGTATCACATGCCATAGGAAGTTGTTGGACATTCCAATGAAAAACAAAACATCATTGACAGGTGGCCAGTCGTTCCCAGAAAACCCAGTGCATACAGCAATCTAGTACATGTACCTTGTGTTCCTTAACCAGTATTGTTGTGGTTACGACCTATTCCAAGCCCACAAATTTTGAAGCAGGCCACAATAATGCTGTGTTGAAAGTGCTTTCGAATGATCCAATAATGAGCATTAAGGTATACGTGTTTGTGTACATTCAACCAACACAGATAAAGAAATGTTGAAGTGCATACACACATTTGTGTAAGGGCAAAAGTTTGAGTTCTTTGAACATTTTTAGCATACTTGATTGGTCTAAACACTTGCCAAAATTGAAACCTTTAAGTCCATGGACTTCCAACAAGGCCATGTTAGATCTCAGTCTACTTGTTGACTGTGATGCACTTTCTCTGCATATTGCTTTCAACATAATCACCAAGCAACATGACAGAGTACCCTATCTAAGTAACAAGTTTGATTCAGTTGCAGTTCAAGTAGCAAACTTTTACAACATAGCATTGTTCAACAAGTTTGGGATGTCCAACTTGTCAACAGAACAAATAGGGGCAGGCAAAAACTCATGAAATTTAATGCTTTGCATCTTTACATTTTCATCTTATATTAAAAACGGCTGTGCTGGCAGAATTTGTGTTTTGTTTTTGCATAACTTTTCATTTTCTTTTCTGCTTTTCCTGTTTTGAGGGACTAATTTTTAATTAATGCATTTACAAGCAACATGAAAGAGGCAATCTTTCTATGCAAGGTTCTTCTTGTTCAGTTCATGCGGTTGGATAACAGATCATAAAGACAGACATGAATAACGTCTGCCCAAGTGCAGTGTGCGAGCAAATAGTGCAACAAACTACCGAAGGACCTTCTGTCACATGACTACTCACTGACTGCCGGTTGGTCAGATTTGACCTCGCCAAACACATCATCCTCCAATGATAAGTCAAAGACTTTTGGGGGGAAAAGAATCGGGAGTGAGGTGAGATAAAGTGGGTGGGGGTGGAAAAAATAATGGAAAAAGACAAACGATTCAGTAAAAATGACAACACTAGTATTAACATCATGCATGTGGACGTTTCATAGCGACCATGCATATTGGATGTAAAACAATTGAAAGGAATTTTAAGTGTTTAAATAATTGGCCTGTTTGTTTCACACAGGTCTAGATCTTGATCAGTGGTCCTAACACTGATTAGCACCATCCATTAGGTGGGTTCTAGCGTCAGTGAATCAACGACAGATTACTGATTGTGAACCAGATCTGTGTGAACCAGACAGGCCCTACATGTACCTGTAAGACAATATCAAATCTACGAAAACCAGAAACTGATAACTCAGCCATCTGTCAGCAGATTCTGGATAAGAAATCCAGTCACTAGGAAGCATGCCTCATCAAAAGACAACTCTAAAACTAAACTCGTTCGCTTTGCTATTATCAAACCGTGCATTTTTGATAAACGTGCATGGATGGCAAGATGGTCATCTACTGTAAAATTGCTGCCAAACCAAAAAAGGCGAAATTTCATGCAGCAACTGACGGCGTACCGTAGATCTTCACTGCAAAATAGTAACTTTGACAATGTTAGCTTTGGTTCTTCCAAAAAAGATGAAAAACAGTGAATATGAGCATGTACATGTACTTGTTGCTTTAACATTTGCATGTATTTCAAGCCCATGAAGAAAGCTTTGTGTAGATGGTATAAATATGTACATGTACCTTGGGCCATGTCTGAAATGGGAATTGTTGTTTACGGCTATGGCTGTTCCCTGTTGCTTGTCAATGGCAACATCCTAAAGTCACAGCCACAAAATATACATTTCTGACATCACTTATGTGGAGTACCTGCAAGTGTTTCCCTGGGGACTTCCAGAAAGGATGTGTCTAAATAATGTGGCTGCGGCTAGCTACAACACACATATCAGTGGGAAATACCGGTAACTGTAGCCCTTAGCCATGAGAGGCTTCCACAGGCAAGCATCATGCTATCCAAAGCCTGAACCAAGTAATTCAGACACAACTAACTTTGTAGAGTAGGAGGCACAATAACTTCTAAAGCATATAAAAAATATTTGATTAGCAAGAAGGGTTACCGGCTAAAATGCTATTGAATTTACACAGCCCTTGACTGGTTCCTGGCTTGTGTTTGCTCAGTGCTTGAAGTTCAAAGGCAACATTTCTGTTTTGAAGAGCTACAACAGTGATCTACAAAATGAAATAGGTGATCATCTGAAGCAGTGGTCAAATATGCATCTAGCATCCACTGCATGCACATGCCATGAAACAGCATCCTACCTTTTCACACTTTTCATACCATAATGTACGCGTACATGTAAAACGGAATTTAAAACTCGCAAAACGGGTCTACACACTGTAATTGATCAATCTCAGTATCAAAACCTACAAGTGAGCACTTGTGATAGTATACATGGAATTGCTACCAGTGTATACATAGTAACAACATGTGATGCTCAAGTGTACACGTCATCTTAAGACCTGTCACATGAACGGTTGTTCCTGCAGGACAAACCAGTTAATCATTGGTTAGACACACTGAATGGGACGGCACTCCATGCTTCTGAACCACATTGTGATCACTCCATGCTGATAGTAGCAGAGCCAGGATACCATAACAGAAATCAAAGTAAATGGAATAGGGTCTCCCTTGAAAGAGGGTTCACTTTAAGACCAGATTTAATGCCTGATAAGGTAATGAAAGGGATAGGCCAAGAGTTGATGACATCCACCCCTTTCCAGTGACAATCCTGGCTCCGCCCCTATTTGATGCCGTGACTCACTCCTGCTTCTCGTGGCTTCTGGTTGCTTGGTGACGGGACTGGCTCCGGGCTCAGAAGTGACCGACTGTGAAGACTTTCGGGGCCTGTCCACTAGACCGGTTAAGGGAGAGAACATGAAGCATAAATAGTGATGGCAGTTTTTATATATACAGGCCATCCTGGAGAAGTAAAATTAGATTACTACACCTCATAAATATTCATGACCAAACTGGAGTGCCGATTTTGCTGCATGTCCACAGAGTAGAATACATGCCCAAGTGACATCATCCTGGTGAGTATCCGTCCCACTGTCATGCGGGAGTTTTCTCTGGTAGCACCAAAAATTTCCCCCGGAACCCGCCTGGTAGACATGTAGTCAGTGACATGTAATCTTAACAAAACCAGTCTGTTGTAGTTCTTGCCAGACACGTGGAACTCTCCAGCTCAGAAACAAATTGTAAGTTGACCTTGAACTGTTATATTGTCAATTTGCTCACGAATAAGTTTAAGAGGCATAGTAAAACAAATACAGCATGATTTATTTCTGGGATTCGCATCGGGAGGATGTCAAGCTGACCTACACCTACACCAGGATCAGTAACTCACAGTACTTCCCCTCAAACCATGCTGTATTTGTATAATCCTGGTTGACAATAAGCAAGCTGTAGTCAGTCCCACAACAGGTGGCAAATTCATCAGAAAAAATGAATTCTGCATGCTCTGAGTCAACAAATGTATTAGTAAAAACAAAAATGATTAATTTTTAACACCTCCGGCTGTGTATTTTCAACTGAAGAGGAAGCAAATTCTGTTAGTTTGGATAGGAAAGGAAATTAAAACACAAATTACAACTTATAAATAAAAGGCTGTAGCTGACCAACACCTTTTCATACTTTGCAAGCAAATTGTTCAAGGGAAAATTGAAAACTGTTGAAATTAACTGCCACTTGAGGCATTTTTACTGGCAAGTACACAAAGGAACCTTTCCCAATCCTACAAAATCATCCACTGTGCACCAAACCAAGAACAGAGGCTTCAAACTTGGTAAATATTTTCTAAAGAGAGTTAAAACCCATGTAAAACAATTGTGGCTGGAATGGAATTTACCTGCCTCAATGCCCAGTATTGTAAATAAGTCATTTTTTCCAAGTCAAGTCTCAAGTCAAGTTTCCGAAGTCAAGTCACTAGTCAATTTTCCCTGAGTGTCAACAAATGTTTGTCACAAAGTCAAATTTAGTCAAGTCAAGTCAAAAGTCATGTATTTTCAAGTCAACTCCAAGTCAGTTTTCCAAGTCAAGTCTCAAGCCCCCCAAAAATCGTAACTCAAGTCTGACTTGAGTCCAAGTCAGCAACTCGAATCAACATTGTTAATCCCATATAATCCTGCAAAACCTCCGGTAAGATTCTGAAGGGTTTGGAAGGACTTGATAGAATTAAGCAATAGCTGACATCAAGTTATGCACTCAGTGTCCACATTCAAGTAATATTTGAACCTGCCTTTTTTTCAAATTATGCCAGCACTTTTAAGAAACGTGAATCCCATAAAAGGTACAGTAATCAAATGTAAGAAACCAACAAACTTTTATGTAAGGTAATGGTCAGACAACGGGTACAGTACATATGTTTTAATGAATTCTGGATATGTGTCAAAAAAGGGAAGGGGTAAAAATAAATGACAAATCATGGTGAATTCTCACTAACAATCAATACCTGATATTAGTACCAAAAAATTCAGTAAAAGTCACACCAGAACTGTAAAATATGGAACTTTAAGGCAGCTACAGAATCCCTGTTCTACCTCACAGCATCCTGATGCAAAACTCTGCTCATGCTGGTTTCCATACTTACAGCGTTGCAAAGACCTGTTACCACTAGGTAACTGAATTGGCTGAGGGTTGGCTCGATTGAGCCACTCTGGCGGCAAAGAGAGGCAAGTCTCAAGTCTCAAAAAAAAGGAGTTTAACATGTAGTCACAGCTGTCAGTACAAACCTATTAACTGTGTATGTAATGTGCACAAACTACAGAACTCCTTTGAGTAAAATATATTTACATATACCGTAAGTATTTGTGTGAATTCTTGGACATAAAAGAAATTTGCACATCGACAAATTTACATGAGCAGTATGGGATTTATTCAATGACTGAACTTACTGCTGGCAGACTCATCCTTGCCATAGAGCAGAGGAGAAGGTGAAAACGTCTCTGGAAGGGAATAAATGTACATGTATACTCGTAGTACGGGGACAGTATGTGTAAAATACAATATGCATAGGCAGGGGATAGTTACTGTATGGCGTAATGGTTAATGACGTCATACCATGCCGTACATGAACACATATTCACACTGATGTATGGAGCTATAGTGATGATGCTCACTGGAAATTTAGATTTCTTGACAAATGAAGAAGCATGAACTTCCTATTTGTATCAAGTTGTTCTCCAGCCAGTAGGAATCAAATCCATGCCTGCCCACTGACACGAAAACACTTATGAGACAAACGAACGGTTAGCATGATCAAAATGGTTCATCAGACTTTCTGGCTGGAACTTTGGTTTATAAGTTGAAAGTTGTGAGTGGAACGTTACACGTATCATTTGCAAACTTTAAATCCATGATAAGCAGTACATGTACACCGCTGTCAGAGAAGGTTACATTACACAAACCAACATTGTACGGAGAGTCTCATGCAAAATTTACACAAAATCAAGGAATATCTTGGTCAACCAAGAACTGGAGAAGCTGAGTGTTACTACATGTATTTGTATTGTGGGGGCAATTTTTTTGTGGGAAGAACATTTCTTGCTACACATTTACTTCAAAATTCAAAGGTGGAGTCGCAAAGTTCATTAGATCAACTGCATATATAAAACAAGAATTTCACCACTTTTAAGCCAACTTTGACCAACGGGGTTAACATCTTAACATCCATTCACAAAGTGGCCACATTCCTTATAGCCTTTTCCTGACATCTTTTCACACTGCATTTGAAATATTCTCAACTAAGACCACTAGCGACTTTCTTTAACATTTGAACACAGCCAGTTTTGTTGGAGTTGGGATATCACTTTGAAGGATTCAACTTTTTTGGTGGAAGCTACATGTATTTTCTTCTTTGATCCTGCTTCAGTGACTATTAACGAGCCACAAGACATGGGGGAGCCACAGTTATTACAAGACAGGGTTAAAAATCTCAATCATCACTGCAAACATCACTGTACTCTGAAAATTGCACGGGATAAAGTAATTCAATTCATCAACCTCCATTCACAACTACTAAGCCCCAGTGGGTCAAGTTAAAAACAGATGAGGCAATCCTTATCCAAACATCTTGCAATTAGTACATGCCACATTCCAATGCCCTGTAATTACAGCAAGAGGCATTTTAAGTGAATGCAAAATTGGAATCCAAGTCAAACTGGGCATAAGTTGTCCACATGATGAGCACAGGGTACATCTTGGGAACTACATGGAAATAAAAAGCAACTGATGCTGAAAACCCTGGATGATTTTTAAAGGGATAGCTATACTAATATTTCCCATGTAACCGGGTCAGAGTGCAAACTCCAGGCTCCAATATGGCGGACGATTCTTGCATTGACTGTCTCGAATGGAAGCAGATTATCAATCAACTTCAGTTGGATCAAAACACTCCAGAAATTTGTACTGCAAGACTGCTATCATACATTCTGTCAAATTAAGAGGCAATCCATTTCAAACCATGCAGGCATTCATTCTCATGATGCATAAGGAATGTGTACTCACTGTATGGGCTGAAGATTGTATCAGTGCTATGGGCTGACCATGGACCTGATGACCGGCAACAAAGTACAACACACCATTTCCAACCGTCAGTATACAGTAAACATAACACCCCCTACTTATGTATCCCACACAAAACTGCTTTACAGAGCAGCTAGACTAAAATTTGATATTACATTGTACTGTACAAGTCCATTGTACGGTCCCGATTGCTGTGATTTATATCACAGAGGGTGACAATTTTTCTGTATAGGTGTGACTACAAATTCGTTCACAAAAGACAAAAAAGTGATCAACGACAAAATGACAACTCATTCACAATTGCTTTATGTTCTTCTCTTGGCATAAAAATGTAGGTAAAATTGCACACTCTAAAGTTTGTTTGCTGCTCCACTTGAAACAATATGTCATGCACATTTTCCAGGTTTATTCCTTTGTAGTTTGATACTGTACATGTACAGTGTACATGCCATGTACTCACTGGTGGATGAGGTGCTTGTCCGCCGACTAGCACTTGACCTCTTGTTTCTAGGCGTGTCTTTAACAAATGAATTCAAACAAGAAATACTTTGAAAATCCTACATTTGAGCAAGTACAAGGACAAAACCAATGTTATAGGCAAATGTTGCCCCGTTGCTCCAATTCAATTTCCATGGTGGTCAAAAAAATTGACTTCATATACATGTACACATTTGACTTCAGGCAGCAAACTCGATTTTAGATGTACAAACTTTTTCAATGTGCAAACATTATGGCTTAATTTATCATCAACACCGATTTTTAATACCAAACAGAACTTTATGCCTTTTGTAAGGCTTGTCACAAGGAAGCTTTTCTACTGACATGTACTGCAAGTACTATGCATTCACACCATTTCATGAGTAGAGACATCAGCAATCAAGACTTTCCAAAGTTATTCCAAGTGACTTGACAATCAACCTCTGACTGTCTAGCAAGTTTTGTTGAATGTTTGAGTGCACAAGATACATGTGTATGTTGAAACCTTGGAATAATTTGGCTCAATGCAACTCCGAAATGCCAGCGTGAACCAGGCTTGCTCTCTGTTTGACACTTACTGATGGTAACTAATATATGAACAGTCCTGAACGTAACTTGTCAAAATCAACATAAGCTGAAAGCAACCAAACCAACTTGTCTTCAACAGCATGACAGAAACCTGGTACCTCATTACCAATAAATTTTGAAGAAAACATTTTTCAAGTGCTTTGTTAGCTTTTTTTAATCTAAGAAATCTGCAAGTTATTTCAAACTCACTTTATCTAGCCCAACTAAAGAAGCACCCATTAATGAAAACACACTTGATGAAAAAACAATGACAAAACAATGGACCAGCCCATATGCACTAACACAACATTGAAATAACGTGAAATAAACCTGACAGTGGAACAAAGCCATCTAAAACAATGAATTCACAAACAAAAATATGATTTGTGACAACTGTCATGCTTTGATTTGCAGATAAAACTCAAGGTGAAATGCTTCTGTGATGTAAAAAACGGTCCTCACAAATAGTGATGGCAAAAAAGCACGAACCTTGACAGATAAACTTTTCAAAGATGTACTGAAAGGAGTTAATGTCCAACAAGAAATTGCAAACAATATTCAATTGTAGAATGTAGAGTTGTTAAGAAACACAAAAATAAAGAACACAACGCTGTCTGACATGCTTCACACAAAATCATGCTCAGTAGGCAAGCAACATTTACTGGCTCGACGTTGTCATGCCAACATTTTAGGAACCAGAGTCCTTGTTCATGCCAGCAATGTAGATGTCTTGCTCATGCAAACAATCTATCATTTTTACTCACAGACAGGCCCAGGTGGATCTGTGTATGTACTCCGGATACGAAATTTGGGTCTATCAGTTTCTGGCCGCCAATGAGGTGTGCTGAGCTCCTCACCAAAGCTCGGACTTTTGTCCTCTACTGTCCTCTGTATCGGTTTCACTTCTTTTGTCTTGCTTGATCCCTCGTCTTCTTGCACTTCCCGAAATCTCCGATGGAATGACTGAGAAGCATTCTGATTCCTGTTCAGCTCTTCTTCCGAAGGTCCAGGGATGCCCCTGCTCAACATGGCTAGGACATCTTCCTCATCGTCCTCCCGTCTTCTGGTCTTTTTGTCTGCTTTGTGCTCCTCCCTGTTGTCATGAACCACCTCTTGTTGGTTGATGTGCATCTTGGAGGCTGAATCACTCTGCCTACCTTCTGGCTCAGGGGTGGGAGGAGCAACACTTTGACTCAGAATCGACATTAAGTCATCCTCTTCGTCTCCCTTTGAGGCTGCATCCTTCGATGCTCTTCCTTTGCTAATCTTGCTTTTGTGAGCATCTAAGGGCACAGGCTCATATCCCCAACTAAGCATAGCTAAGAGATCCTCGTCCTCATCCTTGTCCTCATCCTTGTTGGAAACTTGGACCTTTTTCCTCTCGTTATCCTTCTTGCTGACCTCCTTGGATTTTGGAGCTGAGGCTGCAGTGAATCCCTGACTAAACCCCTGACTCAGCATAGATAAAATGTCCTCGTCTTCCTCATCCTGTGTGGCTGCAGATTTCCTCTTCTCCTCTGTTGCTTTACCTCTAGTTTTTTTGGAATCAGAGCCTTCAGCTGCATCTCTATTTCCATCCTGAAGAGGGTGTTTTGCTTCACCAGGGAGTCCACCACTAAGTAGTGCCATTAGCTCATCTTCTTCATCTTTTTGATGAGTCTCTGGGATTGATCTAGGATCATGTGTACCTGTGACCCCATCCTTCTTGATGTAAGTGGTCCTGGCCACCTTCTGAGAGCTTGACAGTGATCCGGCTTTACCGCACTTGGCAGGTGACTCGTAGTACGTCTGCACAAACTTCTCATCACTCGGTAACTCAGATGAATTCATATCGTCAGCCAAGTTCTCCACATCAGAATCACAGACTATCTCAGACACATCTGCTTCAGTGTCTGAACCAGTAGGAGAGGATTCTGCTACTGGGTGGTCTTTTCCAGGAGCAAATTCTAGACACCCCTGACTGAGTAATGCCATCAGATCTTCTTCATCATCCTGTCCTTGTTGTTCTTTTCTCGGAGGTTCTTTATTCTGGAAATGAGTATACTTGAGACCAATGCTACCAGTTGGATGACCCCCCTCTTTTTTCATGACCCTATTTGCCTCTTCCTCATTTGGCATTACCTTGGGTGGTAGGTCATCTTCACCAGTGAATGTGTTGTCCAGTTCGGAAGACGAGCATCTGGTGTCCCCCTCACTAAGCCAAGACACTTCATCTTGCTCCTTGTCAACAACGGCAAGCTGGTTCTTAAGGGCTTCACCAGCTGGGACGTCTCCCCTACTCAGAAGCATCAGAACATCCTCCTCATCCTCTATGTCCTTTCTGCTGTTCCTACTGGCACTTGTACGCTTACCAGCCGTGTCACTGTCACTGGACTTAACCGATGTCACAGACACTTGCGAGGACAAGAAGAATTTAGGCCGGCTGGTCTTCTTTCCAATGACAGCATCCTCCTCCACAGCGATGGGAGTGTGCGAGTCTGCATCCTCCTCAGAGGGAAGTGTCAGGTACCCTTCAGAATCCGACACATTGACTAGCTCCTGTTCCAAGTCACTGCCTTCAGTTGTCGGGGTGACGGAGGAGTAAGCAGCCAGTGACGACGTGGAGGAGGAGGGGTAAATAGGGGTGAAAGAGGTTCCCGTCTCCGAAGACGCGTCCATGTAAGGGTCATATCGCAGGTCCCCTTTGCTCAGAAGCTCCAACGGATCCTGCTCCAAGTCTTCTGCCTCTTCCCGGATGTCCTCCAGATTTCCATCCTTGACAGGTGTCTGCCTTTTGGGCTGTAAGTCCAATTCCAAGTCCTTCCTGTCCCTTGATGCTGACATCTCCTTGGCACCTGAAATGCTCAAGTTTTGCTCTCTGACTCTCTCCTCTGTAGCAGCCTCAGACCCTTTATTCCTATCCTGTGAACTTTGATCTTTGGTAAGAGCCTCTTTAATGGTTCCTTGGAGGAAGCAAACAATGGGATACAAGGTTGTCCGGGGAGGTACATCAGTGGCAGGTTTAGGTAATTACACAGTAACATGCCATGGGCAACTACAAGCAGAATTGGGACAAGAATCATAATTTGGAATCATGCCTGGGGACAACTACAAAGTTTCAAGTTTGTATAGTAAGAAAGAAAAGGGGACTTTTCAGTAAGATACAGAATAATTCATTGAGTTATAAAACCGAGGGCCACTTGAACATGGGGACGGAAACAGGTACGTACATTGTGTGAATGTACTGTAACCTCCGCTTTATGTCATTGCTTAGATTGGGTCTAGTCAGAATTTCTCTAAGTCTGAGATGTCATCATGCTCATTTACAGGCTTTCGCATTCATGCAAGGCAGGGCATACAGTACCTCCCACTTGACTAGTGTTCTCTGTTTTTTGTGCATCAGGGAGTGCCTGCTGTTTGTCGTCCTTGGCAGTGAACTTTGACCTAGCCACAGCTACACTGGATCCAAATTTGGCGCGGGCCTGCTGTAATGCTTCAGATCCACTACTTGTTTCTCCTTTGGCATAATTAACATATTTCACATATTAAGAAGAGTGGCAGATGGAGCATAAGGAAAGTGTGTAAATTGTGTAACAATCCTTCCTCACATTTCAATACAAATACATACAACACAAGATTTTTCACACACCTTTGGGGTACAGCAAAACAATAAAAGTGAGAAATTCTCTTTCAAGGCAATGCAATTCTGCAACATTGCACATGTCTGTATACTTGTGTATGCATGCACAATGTAAAACGTACATCCACAGAGCTTTAAAACCTAGTATCTTAATGGCAGAAACTACAAAATGGATGACTGTGTTGATGAACATAGAATGGTCGCACTGACAATTTCAAATATCACACAGGGAGATCTGCTGTGCAGACTGCACATACCAACACTGATTTCTGGCACACTCGGCCTGGACTCTTGCCTACTGGCCACGGAGGGCACGGAAGGGTCACCACGGATATCTATGTTGGGGGTTGCTGCCGCTGCTGGAAGCCCTCCTGGACTGACTGGTGAGGAGCCTGCTGGTGCTGTCGTCCCTCTCGACACCTCCTCTTTCTCCTTCTGTCTGATCTCTCGCCTCCGCTGCCTCCTCTCTGCCATCACCCGCTGCAGCTCTCCTTGCTCGCTCCCAGGTACAACGCCTTCAAGACGATTGGGGGGATAGACAAGGATTTAGGGGGGAGAGGAGTCAAGACAACAGTCGACTGTTTGCTTTTCTTCACGATAGATACCAGGGTACCATCATGCAAGCCACCATGCTGGCTAACACTGCCGACCTACTAAAACATTAACATTAACGGCATCCACAACACACTTTTTTTTGGAGGGACGACCATTAAGTAGACATCATGCTGGGATGAAGCACTATCCTGGTTCCATGATCACGGCAGGTAGGTTGCTTCTGGCCTCAGCCACATTCACTTCATAACACTAAGGCAGCTCAAGTTGCAAATGCAGCCCAGTCCTCTTTCTATAAATGCAAGGTACTTTACACTGACTTGAACAACAAAAACAAGTACTGATTTTACATCATGCTGGTTAGTACACGTCTTGGTTGGAGCACACACACAGGGTGGCAATGCACTTCATCTTGACATTTTCCAAGACGGCCGTCTGAAGAGACTTAGTTAATCACTTTCTCTTGAACAGACAATTCACTGCTCTTCCGCACTACACATTTCAACGGTGAAACAGCACAATTAAAATCCAGGAATTCATCTACATGTAAATGATCCATGTACCCAAA